CTCAAGTCCACATTTGCCCTTCTGTTCCATTCTGTAGGGTAGAGGCTGACCTGTGGGAAAAAACACATTTCCTGGGCTCCCTCACCACCTGGTTTTTGGCTAGGTTTGGCCAATGGGAAACCCTGGTAAGAGATTCCAAGGCAAGAGGTGGGAGAAACCCAGGGTACTGATCCAGGTGCAGTGGCTCATGCCTGTAATCCTAGCTACTAGCTACTTTGGAGACAGAGATGGGAGGATTGACGTTAAAGGCCAGCCCAAGCAAAAAGTTTGAGAGACCCCATGTCAACCCATAAAAAGCTGGGTGTGGTGGTACATGCCTGCCATCCCAGCTACTCACAAAGTGTAAATAGGAGGATCTCACTCCAGGCTGACCTGGGCATAAATATGAGATCCTATTTGAAAAGTAACTAAAGCAGGCTGGTGGAGTGGTTCAAGCAATAACAGCCCCTATGTCACCAGCACAAGCCTCTGAGTTTAAACCCTGGTGCCATCAAAAAATAAATAAATAAATAAATAAAATTTAAAAAGAATAGAAAAGTAACTAAAGCAAAAAGGGCTGGGGGAGGGGAGGATGCGCAAGTGTAAAATGCCTGCCTAACAAGCACGCAAGCACAGAGACCTGAGTTCAACCTCGTACCATAAAAATAAAAAAATAAAACAGGAATGAGTATACACCTGTAATTTCAGTACTCAGGAGGCCAAGGCAGGAGGATCTTGAGATCTTGGGTCCAAAGCCAGCTTAGGCTACACCGCAAGTTCAAGGCCAGCCTGTGCTGCATGGCAAGATCCTGTATCCTAAAAAATAAATAGAGCTGGGGGGCGTGGCTCAAGTGATAGAGTGCTTCCCAGCAAATGCAAGGCCCTGAGGTCAAATCCAGATGGGATGGATGGTACTTCTGCAGCTGCTCCTGCTAGACAGGTCCTATGGTTCTAGTTTCCATCTGGGGAGCCCAGGTCCTAGTGTCTAGTAATACTCTCCCCCTCCCTTTTGTTTTCTTTTTGGTGATACTGAGGGTTGAAATCAGAGCCTCACGCTTGCTAGGTAAGTGCTGGCCTCAAACCTCAATCCTGATCTCTGCCTCACAAGTAACTAGGATTAACAGGCTTGAGCCACCATTCCTGGCCTCTTTCATTCTATACCTCCTACCTAGGCAAGGTTGTGGCTTCTTGAAATTGCCAATCTCAGGTTGCCTCTACCTCCCCTGGTTGCTATTTTTGCCCTCAAGTGACTTTTAAACCACCTGGCATTGGTCTTGTTTTCTTGGCCAGACCCCTATAGTGTCTCTTTTTCTCTGTCTATAAAATGAGGGATGGACAGGCAAGGTAGCCATGACAATAAGCCCAGTACTCAGGAGGCAAGAGGATCATGAATTCGAGTCCAGTCTGGGATACATAGAAAGGCCTTGTCTCAAAAAATAATACAATGAGGGATCATTTGTTCATTCACACAACAAATAAGTATCTAGTATCTGCAAAACTGTAGTAAATATCAGGGGTATCATAAGACAGAGAGTAAAGGAGACAAAAGTCCAGGCCCTGCTCAGGCCCTGAGTCTCCTTAATATTAGAGGAGATGTTTGCATATGTGTCACCTGCCACCTGTGTCAGTAGTACCATCATATACAAACAGATAAACACTATTTGGACCTCAGTCTATTTTCTGTATCCAACGTTCTGATCCTAGGGCCTTTCTCACTTGCCCCCACCCCCAATCCTGAAAGATTTAGGACAAATAAAAGGAAGCCTTAATTTACACCACAGGAGATCAAGTTAAAGGGCTCATTATCCCAAGTGGTGGTGTAGTTTTAAGCTATCAATAGGTCTTTAAAATCAGGTTAGCTAAATACATAGCTGGTGGTGGCATGAACACGGAGATGAGCAGCAGAGCACTCATCTCAAGTTCTCCTGGGCAATGGAAGAAGCCAACTTTCAATCTCAGAGATGCTGGCCACCAGTGCATGACCTTGGCCAAGTCACTCTTGAGCCTGTCTCCTCATCAACTCAGGAGTACCAAGAGTATCCGTGGCTGCTGTGGTTGGTTTAGAGCACGGAGGGCAGCACCTGGTATGTGGTATGTTCTTAATAGACACTCATTATTACAACTACTATCTGTTGCAGATTGGGCCTCAATTCACAGCCTTTTCCATTAGATCAGGAAACTCTGCCATGTGACGCTGAGCAAGTCGCTTCCTCTCTCTCTGCTTCAGTTTCCTCATCTATAAAATGAGAAAGTACCTGAGGAAAAGATACCGTATCCTCTAAGAACAGGTATTACAATTAGCACATGAGAAATACGACAGCTTGTTTTCCAACCCTAGCTCTACTCCTTCCTCAGGTGTATTCCTTTACTGTTCTATGCTTCAGTTTCTTCATAAAACTGATAATGACAACTACCTCATAGGGTAACTGGGAGGATTAAATAATGTAGTTAAAGTGCTTAAAGGTGGGCGTGATACATATAATCCCAGCACTCAGGAGGCTGAGGCTGGAAGACCAAGTGTTTGAGCAAGACCTGCCTCAGCTACATACCCAGTTCAAGACCAGCCTGGGCTCCATAGCAAGACTGTCTCAAAAAAAAAAAAAAAAGGAATAAAACACTTAGAACAGTGACTGGCACAGGATATTTTAAGTGTCAGGATTACTTCACGTGGTACCTAAATTCCACATGGCTTTAAAATTAAGATATGGGACCTCATCCTAGCTCCACTCTCTTGGCTGTGTGACATTGGACAAATCACTTCCTCTCTCAGCCTCAGCTTTCTCCTCTCTGTAGGAAAGACAAGAACCCCTTGTTATGGGTTGACTATGAAGTGTCCCCCAAAATGGCTCGTGTTGAAGGCTTGGTCTGTAGCTGGTGGCGCCACTGAAGAGTGACTGAGAAGTCACTAACTTCATCCCTCACCAGTTCATAACTGAATGGGAGTAGGGGGGGCCTCGCTGGAAGAAGGGAGGCACTGGAGAGTGCCTTTGAAGAGAGTATCTTGTCCCTAGACCGTCTCTGTCTCTCCACCTCCTTGCCTGCCAAGTGGTGAGCAGTCTTCTCTGCCATACCTTCTCTCCATACTTCTGCCTTGCCACAGGCCTCAAAGCAGTGAAGCCAGACAACCATGGACTGAAACCTCTGAAACTGTGAGCCAAAATAAATCCTTCCTCCCTTCAGTTGTTACCTCAGGTATTTCGTCACTGCAATGAAAAACTGACTACCATACTTCTCTTCCTTAAGACACCATGATACAATGAAGCATACATTCGGTCTCTGGCACATCTCCATTTCCTCTCCTCCGCATTTTTCTCAATGATCCTTCTGATTCAGAGTCCCTTCCTTCACTACTTCCAGAATTCTTCCCTATGGCTCTAGAGGGAAGAACCCCAGATCAGCAGTCAGAAAATCAGGATTTGCTTGCCTGTCTTTGAATAGGAGGATTATGATACGGTGTCTCTAAGGAGCCAAGAGTTCTTGACCCTCTTTCCCTTTCTGGGCCCTGGTCTCCTCTGTTCCCTGATAAGGCTACCACCTTCAGCACCACAACATTGTGCAATCCTGGGATATGGTGGCAAAGGCCAAGGGTAGAGTAGGAGCTCAGTTGGGCTGGGGATGGGAATGTGTGCTGTGAGGCTACTCTTATATAACTTGACCTTTTGGGGGAGGGTGACTTGATCAGAAGTAGTATGCATCCTACAGGCTTGGGGCAGGGAAGCCTCTGTAGGGCTGAGAAATCAGGTCCACATGGACCAGATTGCCTGAGGAGTGCAAAACCAACCTAGTGTCCTGTCATGCCAGCACAGATACAGCTCTCCAGGGCTACTCTGGGGGCCTGGTCCTGCTGGGTGGGAGGGAGCCGGGATAAGGAATCTTCTTTCCACCAACAAAGGGAACCCTAAAAAAGGAGAACTTGCCAGGTGCCAGTGGCTAACACCTGTAATCCTAGGTATTCAGGAAGCAGAGATCAGGAGCATCAAGGTTCAAAGCTAGCCCGGCGCAAACAGTTCATGCCCATCACACACACAAAAAAAGGGCAGGTGGAGTGGCTCAAGTGGTAAAAGCATCTACCTTGCAAATGTGAGGCCCTGAGTACAAACCCTAGTGCTGCCAAAGGGGGGGTGGGGCTTTACCTAGGAAAGGGCCAGGGGACCCCTTATATGCAGGTATATGTAAACAACAGCTCCAAGCACCCTTTCAGGAGCCTATAGTCCCATCATTGGGGAGGCTGAGGCAGTAGAATCAGAAGCCTGGCTGCATACTGAGTGCAGGATAAGCTTGGGCTACATAGCAAGATCCTGCCTCAAAAAAACAAACAAGGCAGGCGCCAAACAAACTGGGAGCTGATGGCTTATGCCTGTAATCCTAGCTGCTCAGGAGGCAGAGATCAAGAGGATCAAGGTTTGAAGCCAGCCTGGGCAAACAGTCCATGAGACCCTATTTCAAAAAAACCCAACACAAAAAATGGCTGGTGGAGTGGCTCAAGGTATTAGGCCCTGAGTTCAAGCCCTAGTACTGGAGAAAAAAAAATCAAAACACCTTTTGTTCTTTTCAATAGACTTTCTCCTACAGGAATATTCTGGACGCTTTCCGCCCCCCCCAATTTTTTTTTTTTTTTTTTGGTGGGACTGGGCTGGGATTTTGAATTTGAGCCACACCTCCAGTCCATTGTGCTCTGGTTATTTTGGAGCTGGTGTCTCTAAAACGATCTGCCAGGACTGGCCTTGGGCCTCAATCTCAGCCTCTCAAGTAGCTAGGATTACAGGTGTGAGCCACCAGCGGTCCCAAAATCTGTACTTTCCAATTGAGGAAAACAGATTGTGCAACAGAGAGACTTGGGGACAAAACCAGAATGCCATACTCCCTCTCAAGTGCTCTTCCCCTGCAAAACGCTAAAAAGGTTTCAACAGAAGGTGGTATTTTGGGTATCCAGTGGGAGGAGCATATATTTTCTGAAGGATTGCAGACCTACAAATACACCTACTGTGTGTGTGTGTGTGTGTGTGTGTTAGGAATTAAATTCAGGGTCTCTCGCTTGCCACAGGGCTAAATCCCCAACTCCTAAATACATCTATACTCTCTAAAGTGAGCAGAGGACAGCTGTAGGAGGGTGTTTTGACCTCCAGCACCATTAATGTAACAAATACATATCAGAAGCTCACTTAGGACCAGGCATTAACTCCTCTCCAATTCCCTGACTTCCGCCTCCGGACTCCTCATACTTGATGTGATTTTGGACCAACCTTTCCCATTTTCAAACCTCAGTTTTCCCTCCTGTATCAGAAGGGTCACATGTTCCCCTTCTCAAGGACAACCCCACACACACACACACCGGAGAGGATTTGATCGGGCTCGAGGAGAGTATTTTGTAAACAGTGAAATGCCAAGCAAAACGACTAATAACATTTACCGCCCTCCCACCACGTCTAAGCTTCCCGCCGCCTGCTTTCCAGAGCCGCCCCAGGAAGGGCGCGCACAGACACCGGGAGCCACGCCCAGGAGAGCGCAGACGCCTTCTCCGCGCTCCACCCCGCGTTCGGGGGAAGGGACCTGCATGACGTCACAGCCACTTCCTATGTAGCCATCCGCCAAAAGCGCAAGTAGTCCCAAGCCCCCAGCGGACTCTGTCGCTCATACTAGGTAGCACATAAAATTCTAGACTCCCTTTGGACCCTACTATAGGTTTGGGGACTCGGAGAAGGCTTCCGGAACACTGGAAATCGTTTTTCCCTGGGACGGCGGTGGAAGTAGTTCCGACCTACTGTAGGCCGATGGGTTCCTCCGCAGCGGGGGGAAGAGGATGGCGACCTCGTCGATGCCGGAGTCGGAGAGGGACGCGACAACAAAAGCCTCAGGTAAGTGCCGGGTAGAGTTACACCGTTCCACTGTACCCTGCCGTGGAGTAGGGCCCCAGTGCGGGGCTACCCAGCGGCGAGGTCCCAGGCCGGCGGGGCTGTCCGAATAGGGCCCTGGGGTCCCAGGCCCTTTAGTCGCTCTCGCACTTGCCTGAGCGGAAACCCGGCGCAGCCACAAGATGGCGTCGGGCCTGGGGCGCAGGCAGCGCCGGGGACAGCCCCGAGTCACCAGGCCCCGAGACCGTCGCTGTCAGCCCCCTCCGCAGGGGAGCCAGGGGAGGGGGGAGCTAACCACTGACCCAGGGGGCCTTCGGGCTGTACCACCGACCCCGCACTTGGGGGGGCGTGGGAGGGACTAAAGGGCTGAACCACTGCGCCCGTCCACCATGCCGGGTGTAAAAAGGGCTGAGATTACCCGCCAGTGACCAGACTGTCAGGGAAGGCCCCTAGCCTGGGAAGCAAGGCTTCTCCGTTCTCTTCCGGAAGCTCCCCTCCAGATACACGAGAAAGCCCCACCCCGCCGGAGACTCAGTCTTTGCATCTGTGAAATGGGCGCACGAGTGCTGCTGGGCGGGCCGTGGTGGCCGGGGTCCCGGAGATGGCACACTTGTTGCAGCGCTAATCACCTCTTCTCGCAGAGTGAAAGCCCGAGACCCTGCACCCCCCTGTTGGACTGTCCCCCGAGCCAATGGAGGAGAACGAGGTGGAGAGCAGTAGCGACGCGACCCCTCGGCCTGGGCCGCCCGAAGAGCCCTCTGAGAGTGGCCTAGGTGTGGGCACCTCGGAAGCTGTGTCAGCCGACAGCAGCGATGCCGCGACCGCTCCGGGGCTGGCGGAGGCCGACGACTCTGGTGTGGGGCAAAGCTCGGACCGCGGCAGTCACTCTGTGGTATGGACCGGCTGGATGGTGTGGGAGGAGGCAGGGACCTGACAGCAGTGCCCAGCAGCAAGGCTGGCCTGTAGCTAGTATTTGTCGTTTCTGAGCCAGGTGTCATGCCAGCCCCCTGACATGGATTTTCTCAGTTAAGCTTCGTACTTTGTAAGACATGTACCAGTTTTCCTCCATCTTACCGGAAGGGAAACTGAGGCACAGAATGCTGACAGCCAGGTTTCAAATCTGGGCCCTGTCTTCGCTACTGCATTGTCCAGTGTCCTCATACACTTGGAGGCAGTGTCCTAGTTCAAGTCTTGGCCCTGTCTCACGTTCACCGGGAGACCTCTTTGAGCCTCAGTCTTCCCGCCTGTCAAGTGGAGCAGGAATGCCTGCTTTCCTGAGTGCTGGGCTGTGCGCTCCCATGGGACTTTCTCTAGGAAACACTTTGTGAACCATCTCTTCTGGCCCTGTCACTTTGTAGTTCTGTGATCATGGGCAAACTACCCAACTTCCAGCCCTGGTCTGGCTCCTTTGTACAGTGGGAATGATAAATATACCTGCCTCTAGAAGTTTTTGTGTGGCTTAAGTGAACTAGGGTATGCAAAGCAGTTAGAGCAGCGCTCAGCACGCAGAGGGCACTTGGTAAGTATTGGTAATAGTTGTGTTGAAGATATCACTTGGTGAAGTGGCAAAGCGATCACTTTGGAGTCCAGAGGTTTCATTCACTTAGCAGAAGTGGGCGTGCCATGTGTCCAGCATGGACTAGACCCTGAGGCTCCGGCCGGGGACAAGACAGATGTGGCCCTGGCCCTGGTGGAGATCAGTCTGGCAACGTTAGGGTGCAGGACAAATCCTGCAGGTTTGGGGGGCAGGGCACTGTATGTCTGAGGAATCAAGACCACATTGGAAAACTGCCACAGAGTGCAAATGCACCCTGCCTTGTGACTTCCTGGTGGGCTCTGTGACCATGTCGTCCTGTCTAGCCCACAGGAACTGGCAGGCTGCCCTGCCTGCCCTACCTGCCCCACTGCTGCCTTCTGAATCCCCCTTCTCTGTTTCCTGCCCCCAGGAGGAGGTGTCCGAGAGCAGCTCCAGTACGGACCCCCTTCCTCATGGCTACCTCCCTGATTCATCTTCTGTATCCCGGGGGCCGGTGGCAGGGGTGCCAGGTTGCACACCAGCCCTGGTGCACTCCAGCGTTCTCCCAGATCCCAACATGCTGGTGTCTGACTGTACAGCTTCCTCCTCCGACCTGGGCTCAGCCATCGACAAGATCATTGAGTCCACTATTGGGCCTGACCTCATCCAGAGTGAGTAGAGAGAGGGCAACTGGCTTACCCAAGGGCATTTTCCTGTGGAGTCTGGCAGCCATCTTTACACAGCCAGCTGTGTGAATACAGGCTAATTATCTTATAGTGAAGAACGTGTGGGAAGGGACCCCTGTCTCCTAGTGGTAAATGACATGGGGAGTGAACGAGACTGCACAGTAAGTTCTTCTTTTGCATAGTGCCACGTGTGAAAAGCACTTAATCAGGACAGTTCTTGTCTGCTATATGCTGGGGATGCTTCTAGACACTTTGGCATATGGGAACTCATTAATCCTCCCAGTGACTCCCAGAGGTCCTCACCATCCAGTTGAGAATCTGAGACACAGGACATCAAATGATTTAAACCTGCAGTCACCAGAAAGTAAAGGATGATCCTAAATAACCCCAGACTTATGCTGCTAAGTACCACACTGAGCTTTCTCTTATTAGTGATGTTCAAAGGTCTTGAGCAACTCACAAAGCCCTGAGCTAGTCTAAGAAGCCCACCCTAAGAACATAGCTCAGAGCCTGGGCATGATCACTCTTGCCTGTAATCCTACCTGCTTGGAAGACAGATCAGGAGGATTGTGGTTTGAGGCCAGCCTGGGCAAAAAAGTTAGGAAAACCTCATTTTACTCAATAATCCAGGTGTGGTGGTACAAGCCTGACATCCCAGTCACTTAGAAGTCATAAAAGGGGCTGGCAGAAACACAAGACCTTATTTTAAAAATAAGTAGCTGGGCACTGGTGTCTCACACCTGTAATCCTAGTTACTTGGGAAACAGATAGGGAGGATTGCGGTTTGAGGTCAACACAGGCATAGTTCAAGAGACCCCATCTCCAAAATAACCAGAGCAAAATGGACTGGAGGTGTGGCTCAAGTAGTAGAGGATCTGCCTAGCAAGCTCAAGGCCCTGAGTTCAACCCCCAATACTTCAAAAAAAAAAAAAAAAAAAGTACAGGACCTGGACCATGCCCTTGAGGAAGTTTGGATGAGACTATTCCAGGTCTTGTGGTCAAAGGCCAGGCCAGGCAGCTGGAGTAGCACTGGCATCCTGGGCCAATACGTCACCCACACCAGACTCCCACCAGCTTTGCCGAGGAGGCGCCCAAGGCCTCCAGGTTTGATGCAGCTGGTCTCTAGATGCCAAGTGAATCTTGGGGAATGTGGGCCAACAGCTGAGAGCCCATCTCAGTGGGTGACCCTCCTCCCATCTCTGCCAGGCTGCATCACTGTGACCAGTGCTGAAGATGGCGGGGCTGAGACCACACGGTACCTGCTCCTGCAGGGCCCGGATGATGGTAAGACCACTAGCATCTGACCCAGGGAGCCCTGCAGGGAGGATAGGTCCCCATGTGGCCTTGGCAGGTTTCCTGCTACTCTGGGCCTCAAGTTTCCCTCCTTACAATGGTGGCCTATGGCTGGGAATTTGATTCTGGGATTCCTTGGCCTGTCCAAGTAGCAGTCACTCATGGCCAGTCTTGCCCTCTGCTTAATCTCCCTCATCTTCTTCCCTGTCCCAAGGTGCCCCCATGACATCACCGATGTCCAGTTCCACTCTGGCTCACAGCTTAGCAGCCATTGAGGCCCTGGCTGACGGCCCCACGTCCACATCCACATGTCTAGAGACCCCTGAGGAGGCTGGGGCTGGGCCCAGCTCCCTGGCCCAGCTACCCCCAGCCCCTGGTGCCGAGGAGCTGGACTTGCAGAGCCTGGAGGCCATGATGGAGGTAGTGGTAGTACAGCAGTTCAAGTGCAAGATGTGCCAGTACCGGAGCAGCGCCAAGACCACCCTGCTGCGGCACATGCGGGAACGACACCTCCGCCCAGGTGCCTCCAAGCAGCCTGCCTGGCTGAGGGATGGGCAGGGGCAGGGCCCTGGGGCCAGACATAGCGAGCCTGCCTCCTGCCCCCCAGCAGTGGCAGCAGCATCCGCAGCATCCACAGCCAGTAAAAAGGGACGTGTGCGCAAGTGGGACACCACCACCAAGACCCCGGAGGAGGAAGGACCAGAGGAAGAAGAGGATGATGACATTGTAGATGCCGGGGCCATCGATGACCTGGAGGGTAAGCCACAGTGGTTCCTAGGCCAGCTGTCCCCGCCCCATCCTACAAATACTGAGTGCTGCCAGCCCACAGGGAGGTAGATACACCAGGCGTAAGAGGAAACTGGGCTCTGGGACCAGGACTTCTGTGGGCAGTTGTGCAGGCTAAAAAAATCAAGAGCTCTGGGTGCTGGTGGCTCAGGCCTGTAATCCTGGCTATTCAGGAGGCAGAGATCAGGAGGATCATGGTTCAAAGCCAGCCCAGGCAAACAGTTCCTGAGACCCTTTCTTGAAAATACCCAACACAGGGCTGGCAGAGTGGCTCAAGTGGTAGAGTGCCTACCTAGCAAGCGTGAGGCCCTGAGTTCAAACCCCAGTACCGTACCAACAACAACAAAAAATGAAAAACCAAGAGTGAGGGTACACAGTTGTAATCTGAGCTCTCAGGAGGTGGAAATCAGGAGGATTACAGTTTGAGTCCAGCCTGGGGGAAAAAGGGAGGTCTTGTCTCCACCAACAAGCCGGGCATGGAGTTTCGTACTTGTAGCTCATAGCTCAGCATCGTGGGAGGCACAATAGGAGAATCACAGTCTGAGAACTGCCCTAGGCAAAAAAGTGAGACCGTATGTGAAAAATAAATCGAAAAGGTGTTCGGGTCATGGCTGAAGTGGCGGAGTGCCAACCTCGCAAGAGCACATTCCTGAGCTCAACTCCAGTACTGAAGAGAAAAAGGTAAAATTAACTTTGACCGCATACCTAAGATAGCTGTAGTACTACTCCAGCATATAATGTTATAAAAATAATTAGGTGGGTTTTTTTTGTTTGTTTGTTTGTTTTGCGGTTCTGGGGTTTGAACTCAGGGCCTACACTTTGAGCCACCCCACCAGCCCTTTTTTTGTGATGGGATTTTTCGAGATAAGATCTCACAAACTTTGCCCTGGCTAGCTTTGAACCACAATCCTCCTGATCTCTACATGTTGAGTAGCTGGAATTACAGGTGAGAGCCACTGGGGCCCAGTTAAGTGCTTTGCTTTTTTTTATGGTTTTTATGATGGGGTCTTGCTTTGTAGCCAAGGCTGGCCTTGAACTCATGATCCTCGTGCCTCAGTTTCCCATGTGCAGGGATTACAAGTATACACCACTGTGCCTGGCTTGTTCTACTTTTTTATATTAACTTTTTGAAGTCCACTGTTTATCTTGCACCTACTTATATATCTCAGTGGAACATGGTACATTTTAAGTGCTCAGTGGCCAAATGTGGCCTGTGCCCGCTGGGTAGGCTGGTGTGGCAAGAGTTTGCAGACTCAGTGCTCACTCCACCTATTTCTAACAGTAGCTCTAAACTTGTCTTGAGAAAGGAGCATCTCTTTCTGCTTTACATTTAAGCTCGTGGCCTGGGCCAGGAAAGGCGTGAAGAAAGGACTACAGGGGCTTAGAGGAGGGACACAGCCCACCTGGGGGCGTTCACTGGTGGGCTTGAAGGAGGAGTAGGCAGGGATGGGGAAGTGGCTTTTTCCCAGAAATGCTGGGCAAGGGATCAGGGCTGGAGCTGTCAGTCCATCCAGCACTGTCATCTCTTTCTCTGTCTCTACAGAGGACAGCGACTACAATCCAGCTGAGGATGAACCCCGAGGCCGGCAGCTACGGCTCCAGCGCCCTACCCCCAGTACCCCAAGACCTCGAAGGAGACCTGGCCGGCCCCGGAAGCTGCCTCGCTTGGAGACCTCGGACCTCCTGGATGGTGAGCCTTGGTCTTGGGAGGGGCTGTGGGTGCCCTGGTGGTTGCAGGGAGCTTCAGAGACTGCGTTTGTACATAGTGAAAGTCTCAAACCAGTTTCAGTGGGAGCCTTCCAGGCTCTAGCTGGAGATACCCTAAGTAGTGTCTTTAGTGTTTAGACCACTGTCTTCCTGTAGCAAATCATCACCACAAAAAAGGAGTTTGGGTCTTTATGATGGAGAGGTAGCAGCATCTGCCTTGTAGGTTGGTTTGCAAGGTTAAAGATACACAGAAAGGTATCTTAGTGGTTCTTGTATCCATGCAATTTGAAGGGCTGGTCAGAGTCTAGTTTTTGTGGTTTTTTTTCAGAATAACTCTCTCCTAAAGTACACTTGTGGGAAGGTACTCATGTACCACCAGGCCAGTGAGTGCTCACAAGGAGAACAGCACCCCAACCAAAAAATAGGGCGTACCACCATTGTCTGCATCATCCTTAATTTTTTTTGTGTGTGTGTGTTACTGGGGTTTGAACTCAGGGCCTTGTGCCTGCCAGGCAAGAGCTCTACCATTTGAGCCATGTCCCCAGCCCTTTTTACTCTGATTATTTTGGAGATGGGGGTTGCGATTTTTGCCCAGGCCAGCCTGGACCAGGATCCTCTTATCTTAGGTTTCCCACCATAGCTGGGATGACGGGTGTGCACCACCACACCCAGCTTTTATCGGTTGAGATGTGTTCTCACGAACTTTTCTCCTGGGCTGGCCTGGAACAACGATGCTTCCCAGTCTCAGTCTTCCAGGTAGCTTGGGATGACAGGTACGCTCTACTGCACCAGGCTGTTTGTTGAGATGGCGGGGGAGTCTCACTGACTTTTTCCCAGCTTGGCCTTGAACTGTGAGCTTCCAATCTCAGCTTCCCAAGTAGCCACTGTGTCCAGCCTTGTTCTTAGTTTTTAAAGTAGTGTTTTTTAGCATTATTTGAAGAGGTAACACGTTCAGGCTGGTCAGATTTGAAAGAGTTTGCAGGTTTGCGCAGGGAAGTCCTCTTCCTCTGTCTGGCTGCCTAGTCTCCCCAGGCTGGCACTCCCCAGGGAATTGAAAAAAAAAAAAGCATTAACGTGCTGCTGGTGCCTCCCAAGCCTCAGAATGTCCCTGTGAGGTCACTAGACCGTTTGATAGATGGGACAAATGACACTATGCCTGAAGATGCACAGCAAATCCCTGAGGGAGCCGAGGCTAAAAGGCCGGTCTCTGGGTTCAGAGGTCCACAGCTCTGTTGTTGATCCAGTATCCTGTGTCAGTCATACTGAGTATGCCAGCTCAGAAGGGGATGGCACCACCGCTGCCCTCTCATCTGCTAGGCTCATCAGTGGTCTGTGACTGGGGGGAGGAGTTTGGATGGCTTCCGGCCCACTGTCCATTTCTGGCCTGGTGGTCTGGCTGATCTGACAGGTGTGGAAGAGCCTCTAGTGAGTTCCCAGAGTGGACAGAGCCCTCCAGAGCCTCGGGATGCTGAGGCTCCCAGTTCTTCGGGCCCAGGACACCTGGCAGCATTGGGAAAAGCGGACAAGAGGCCTGTGGAGCCTGGTGTGAGCCAGTCAGCTGCAGAGAATGCAGCACCCTCCAGCCAGGACGAGCCTGATGCCCCTCCCCGACGCAGGGGACGACCCTCCAGGCGATTCCTAGGCAAGAAATACCGCAAGTATGTGAAGCAAAGGTAAGGAGGTGGGTGGACGGACGGCTCCCTGGAGCCTCAGCCCGGCCAGACCTTTCACCCTCTGCCAGGTACTACTACAAGTCACCCAAACCCCTTCTGAGGCCCTATCTGTGCCGAATCTGTGGCTCCCGCTTCCTGTCCCACGAAGACCTACGCTTCCACGTCAACTCCCATGAGGCTGGTGACCCGCAGCTATTCAAGTGCCTGCAGTGCAGCTACCGCTCCCGCCGCTGGTCCTCACTCAAGGTGGGGGAGGCTGAAGGTGGGCAGATGGGAAGTAAGAGTCTCTGGGCATCCTGTCACTAGCGCGTGACAGACGCTTAGCTCTTCTAGATCTGCTCGGGTATGGAGGGCCCATGGAGGACTGCCATGGGTGTTGGTAGGAGGACTGCCATGGGTGTTGGTAGGATGCACATTGCACAGCCACGCTCCATTTTCACGGGTGCAGTTCACACTGTGGACCCCATAGGTTTGGTGGGTCCCACTGTAAACTTGGCTACAGTCAGACAGTAGCCATGGCAGTGTCAGAACATTTCCAGTAGAGGTCAGTATTGTGCCTCAAGAAAGGGCTACTTTTATCTGCGCAAGGTGACTTACCTGTGATCCTAGCTACTCTAGAGGCAGAGGCCAGCCTAGGCAGAAAGTTCATAAGACCCCATCTCAACCAATAAAAGCTGGGCATGGTGGTGTGAGTCTGTCATCCCAGCTGCAAGGAGTGTAAATAGGAAGGTTGCTGAGGCCTACCAGGACATAAGCAAGACCTTATCAAAAATAAGCAAAGCAAAAGGGCTGTACATGTGGTTCAAATGGTGGAGCACCTGCCTAGCAAGCACAAGGCCCTGAGTTCAAACCCCAGTACTGCAAAAAAGTGGGGGTGGGGCTCATTTTCCTCCCTAACCCAAAGGTGCCGTGGTCTACAGCATCCCTGAGCCTGTTCTCACCCAGTACCTGGGTAATTTCGTCATCTGTCATATGGCCCAGTGAAGCTGTAGTTGCTAATGGCCCTCTTTTACTGACCCAGGAAACTGTGGTTTAACCTGGCAATGTGCCACAGCAAGTTGGGGTCATGGGAGGGTCCCTCAGGCACCGGCGGGCAGAGTCCTGTGGTTTCTCCACACGCTACCTGTCACAACAGGGTTCCAGCATCTGGAGTTGTTACGGACTCTGCAGAGGGTGTTATAGCATGGTGGGCGAGGTATGGGCTGTGGCACCATGCTGCCTGGGAACAGCTCCAAGCTCTCCGCCATTGTAAGGCCCCTTCACCCTGAGCCTCAGTTTCCTTTTTTTTTTTTGTCAAGTGGCAGGCCAGAACCACCTGTGAGCCTACCCCCACAGCACCCCTGAGGCTGCGAGCATGGGCAAGGTGCACATAGGAGGGGAGGCTGAGCTCCAGCCCACTATCCTGCCCCTCTCCTAGGAGCACATGTTCAACCACGTGGGCAGCAAGCCTTACAAGTGTGACGAATGCAGCTACACCAGTGTCTACCGGAAGGACGTCATTCGGCATGCAGCTGTGCACAGCCGGGACCGGTCAGTGGGTGGGACAGGAGCAGGGAGGTGGGGCACGGGGAAGGTGGATGCCCAGTATCACCATGGTCCCCCCTCAGAACACATGCCCTGCCCTGCCCGGTCACAGCACGTTATAGACGTGACCAGAAAGGCAAGGTGATTCTTCCCTGGTCGTTTGGCCTAGAATGGGCAAGGCAGACCTTGAGATCCCCAGTCAGTCTTCCTTGCTTTAGTTTCTTAACTGGAAAGTGGGGACATTTGTTGAGGGGACCAAGGGAAATCTTGTGCCCCAGGGATTCTGTAAGTGATCTGAAGATCCTGGGCTCTCCAGGCACACACTCCTCTCACAGTGCTGAGAGCAGACAGGACTGGGAAAAGCAGCCATCCTCAGGGGTCCAGTGGTCAGGAATGTGGCTTCTACAAAGGGTTGGCTTCACAGGGAATGGTGTATGAGCAGAGGGTAGACACGCAGGCCTCTGGAATCCCAGCTTAAGCTGGGTGTGTGGAAAAGCCAGCTTTCTGAGACACTTACAGGAAGGCTGGAGGCATAGCTCCAGTGGTAAAGCTCCTTCTTAGCAAGTATGAAGTCCTGAGCTCAAACCCTATTACCTCCCAAAAATAATCAAAAGGAGGAAAAGCAGCTGTGGCCAAGTAAGTTTAGGGTCATCAGGTTGAAGGCCTATTCTTCAGTAGCTCTCTCCTGCAAGACTTCTTGGAACCTTTTAGTACAAAATGTGTTTTGTGATTGAGGGATTGTCACATAGTAGCCAAGTATGGGATGTGTCACCCACAGGGTACCTCAGCATTTTCTCTAGTAGGCTTCCCCCAGAAAAACACCACTCTAAGAGAAGGAACCCAGGAGGGAGAAGAGGTCCTCAGTGCCGAGACAGGATTTGGTGGGTGTGAGAGGGTCTTGGGTGGACTTAGGGAAGCCATGGTTTAACTTCTGGGCCTCTCTTTCCAGGAAGAAGAGACCAGATCCGGTGAGTGTGGGGCCCTGGCCTGGGAAGGGAACTTGCCTGCAGGTCCTGATGGTTGAGGACAGGAGGTAAGGTCCCTTTCTCCTCCCCTCTTGTCTCCATCTGGCCCCTTCTTGTACCTCTCCAGACCCCAAAGCTGAGTTCTTTCCCCTGCCCTGTGTGTGGCCGTGTTTACCCCATGCAGAAGAGGCTGACGCAGCACATGAAGACTCACAGCACTGAGAAGCCCCACATGTGTGACAAGGTGGGTGGGGCAGGGGTTGGGCTAGAGCTGGGGACGAAGGCCTTCCCTAGGTGACCTGCCATCCACTCCTCCCATCCTTCGTAGTGTGGCAAGTCCTTTAAGAAGCGCTATACCTTCAAAATGCACCTACTCACCCACATCCAGGCTGTTGCCAATCGCAGGTATGCCGCCCCCCCCAGAGTCCCCTGGGGATGAGAACACCCCAGCCCCCATCGCTGAACTTCTCTCCTTGAACTGCTTCCAGGTTTAAGTGTGAGTTCTGTGAGTTCGTATGTGAGGACAAGAAGGCACTGCTGAACCACCAGCTGTCCCACGTCAGCGACAAGCCCTTTAAATGCAACTTTTGTCCCTATCGTACCTTCCGAGAGGACTTCCTGCTGTCCCATGTGGCTGTCAAGCACACAGGTCAGGCCAGGCACACCCTAGTGCCCTTCTCCACCCCTTGAGCCCCACGCCTCCACTAGAGGCTCCGCTCCGCTCTCGTCCTCTTCTCACTCAGCAGCCCCAGCCAGAGGAACAGCTGAGCCTTTTGAGTGTAAAGGGGGTTCCTGTGGCAGGTTCCCGCTACCCTGAGCCTGGGCTTCCACTCAGCTGGCCAGTCTCAGGACACTCTTGAACCAGTCGCTTGCCCTCTCTGCACCTTTGTTGTGAAAGGGGATTGGAAAGTGCCTACCGTGTGGCTGTTGGGAAAGTGAGTCCCTTTGCTCCTGAGCTCTGCGTGTGCTGGGCACTGGGGACAGGCCAGGTCTCACATGGCCCCTCCCAGATGTAGAAGCAACAGGGTGTACCAAGCCCATGGAAGGTGATTTCTGTGTCCCCCTGATGCCAGCTCTGGGAGGCAGTGGAGATGGAGCCAGGTTTCTGGCTATCTAGAAGTTGATTCACAAGAGGAGAGTATAGTTATGTGACCTTGAGATCAGACATGGCTGAAAGGTTGAGTGCCTTTATGCCCTGGCCAGCCAGGGGACAGTGGCATATGTCTGCCCATCTGTGTGTTGCTGGCAGCCAGTCAGTTGGATGGGCCCTGGAGCCAGGGAATGCTTCCTGCAGAGCCAGTGAGAGGTGTGAGCATCCATCCCTCCTGTGTCCACAGGGGCCAAGCCCTTTGCCTGTGAGTACTGCCACTTCAGCACCCGGCACAAGAAGAATCTACGACTGCATGTGCGCTGCCGACACCCCAGCAGTTTTGAGGAATGGGGGCGGCGCCACCCCGAGGAGCCCCCTTCCCGCCGCCGCCCCTTCTTCTCTCTGCAGCAGATTGAGGAGCTGAAGCAGCAGCACAGTGCAGCCCCTGGCCCGCCTCCTGGCTCACCAGGACCCCCTGAGGTAGGCCAGCAAGCAGGCAACAGACAGGTGCTGGACCACAGACCAGGATGGTAGTGTGACATCACCTCTCTGGACCCCAGTGTCCTCATTGGCACACTGGGGCACAGATACGCAGCCTTGAACTTAGAGTAGAGGTGGCTCTCCGGGGCTTTATAGAAATACCAGTACCTTAATTGTGCCAGTAATTTATTATTCTCATATAAAAGAATTCTAAAGGTCAGCCATCTAGATCTGGTGTGGCAATACACGGTCATCACAGGCCAAGCTCTCAATGTTTGTCATCCATCTTAGGCATATGACTTCCATCTTTGTAACTGCCTGATGGTCCAGTATAGTTTCAGGAACACTGTCTTCCCAGCCACATCCCACGCAGGAAGCAAGAAGAAGGGTTGGGGAAGGGTAAAAGGGATGCCTGCCCTCTACCCACCTGTCTTCCTCGAGGACTTTATCAGAAGTCCCTTGCTTAGCTGTGTGGCTTCACTTTATCGAGCTGTGAGGGAGGCTGAGAAATGGAGTGTTGTAGCTGGATATATTGCTCCTCCTGATGAAAATCTTTGCTGTCAGCAAGAAGGGATGGATTTAGTGAACAGCTAGAGTTCTCATCCATGGAGCTTGCCCAGTCACCCCAGGAAGACAGACCACACAGCATGCTGATAGAACACAGGCTGTGGAGTCAGACGGTCTTGGGTTCAAGTCCTAGCCCTTCGAAGGCCAGTCACTCACCTTTGAGCCTGTTGGTTCTTGGTAGATACCTTGAAGAGTGGCAGAGTGAAATAGGGAGACAGATGGAAGTGCTGACACGTGGGAGGTGCTTAGACTCCAGGACTTGGGCCACCCTTCTAAGGCTTGATCCTGTCCCCATCCCCAGGTCCCTACAGAGGCAGCACCTTTCCAGTCACCTGAGACCACCCCACTTCTCTGTTCTGACACCCTGGGTGGCGCCACCATCATCTATCAGCATGGTGAGCTAAGGGAGGCTAGGAGCCCTTAAGGTGAGGCAGTGAGGTGGGGAGGTGGCATTGGTGCCACTTTCCAGCCGCTCTCAGGCTCAGATTCCACCCCACCCAGGAGCTGAGGAGTCCACTGCGATGGCCACACAGACAGCCTTGGACCTGCTGCTGAACATGAGTGCCCAACGGGAGCTTGGGGCCACAGCCCTGCAGGTGAGCTGCCTGGACCCCCTTCCCTGCCCAGCTACCCAACATGCCCAGCTCCATGCTGGACATGGGGTTGAGCAGAGTACTGACCCGGCCCACCTGCAGGGAGCTCCCAGTTAGTTGGGGACAGATTCACTTAACCCTGTGGACAAACCAGGGGACTTGACTGTGTGGCGAAGGAGGCCCTAGGAGGCCAGGAAGGTCAGAGCTTCTCCTACTCCATTTGCTAGTGGCGTCTGCCATGCTGAGCAGTATTGCACTGCTGCCCGTGGCTCCTGGGCTCGATTGTTGGGTTTTTCTCCTTGTGTTGTGGCTGCCCTGCTTCTGTGAGGCCTCCTCCAGGGTCTGAAAGAGCTGCCCATCTAGCCAGGGCCCTCACCACAGGTGCCTCCTCCATTCTGCAGACTCCCAAGGCTTTGTCTAGCCTGTAGCATTCTCTTGCCTTTCAGCAGCATTGTCACAGGCACCTCATGGCACCACACATCTCCCTTAGTCCATTATCTTCCTCCTCCTCTGCTCCTCCCAAGTGCCTGGGCTCCCTGCATATCCAAGGCAGAGGGGAGTTAGCCAGCACCTCCTTGTCCCAGCCTCTGGGACACGTAGAGCGCGTGTATTTCAGATGATAAACTGCAAGAATTTGGAGTGGTAGCATGCTGCCAAGCCCAGCAGGGGGCAGCAGAAACTGTGGAGGAGGAGACTGGTGCTGGACCTAGGAGTACGGAATGTGGAGAACTTTTACATACTTAAAAGTTTTACATACTTGTACCATTTTTGCCTTTGAAGTCCGTAGAAATGCCACTGCCGAACTTTACCCCAAGATTATATGAACTTTCCTTTGTTTTGGGTTCTTGGATGTTTTTGGTTTTTGTTTTTTTGTGGTACTGGGGTTTGAACTCAAGCAGTTCATACCTTGCTAGGCAGGCACTCTACCACTTGATCCACTCTACCAGTCTTATTTTGTATTGGATATTTTTGAGATAGAGTCTTGTGAACTATTTGCCTGACCTGGCCTTGAACTGCAATCCTCTTGACCTTTGCCTCCTGAGTAGCTGGGATTACAGGTGTGAGCCACTGGCACTGCCTCCTTTTTTTTTTTTAGGATTTCAGTTTTTACACTAAATCTTTACTCCACCTGGAACTTATTTTCATGTATGCAGAAAGGTAGAGGCCAAACTTATTAATAAATGTCCAATGTAGTGGTGTAGAACAGTCCCTTCATCACACACGGAATCCAAGGGCTGTCTACACTTTGCAGTTCTGTTCTGCTGATTTGCCTGCTTCTCTTCTGCCAGATTCGGGTATTTATTTCAGGTGTTGGGGGTCAAACCCAGACCCTTGTACATATGAGACAAGCGCTCTAACACTGAGCTATTTTCCCAGCACTTGATTTTGTGAGACATGGTCTCACCATGTAATGCCCAGGCTGGCCTCAAACTCCCAAGCCTCCTGCCTCTGCTTCCTGTTGCTGGGATTACAGGTGTGTGCCATCATACCCAACTCATTTTTTTTTCTGATTACAAAAGCACATGCTTTGTTGGGCACCAGTGGCTCTTGCTACTCAGGAGGCAGAGGTTAGAAGGATCACGGTTCGAAGCCAGCCTGGATAAATAGTTCGTGATCTTGAAAAAACCCATCACAAAAAAACAGGCTGGTGGAGTGACTCAAGATGTAGGCCCTGAGTTTGAGCCCTAGTACTGCAAAAAAAAAAAAAAAAAAAAAGCATATACTTATAGAAAAGCCAAAATGAACAGCAAGAAATACTCAGTACATAGGTAGAAGTTCTTAACATTCTGCCCCTCCCCTCAGGTAACAAGTTAAAGGGGTAAAGAGAATTTCAGGTTTTGTTTGTGCACACACTAACAACCTGACCTTTGTTCTTACAAATAATGTCACACTATTCATACTCTTTAACATAGTTTTCTCCACCCAGCAGTACGTGGTGCAGGACTTGCCCAGCTCCTCCTCATTCTTTCTCACATCTCCACATCAACTCTACACCCCAGTACATAGGTGTTCTGAGGCTTACTGACCCAGTTCTTTATTGGTTGGGTTGCTTCCAGTTTTTCATTAATTCAGGCAGTGCAGTCTGGTAGAAGTATATTTCATGATCTTAATTTATAGCGGTATAATTATAATAGAGGTTGAACTTTTTTGTGTGTGTTCAAAGATCATTTTTATTCCTGTCTGAATCACCTGTTTGTGTCCTGTATCTCTTTTTCTGAGTTGCTGATCTTTTTTGGTACATATGCAAGAGCTCTTTGTATATGAAGGAAGTCCACCCTTTTATCTCACATAGTTGTTAAATACTTCCCTCCAGTTTCTTTGTTTTCTGACTTCATTTCCTGGTTTGTTTTACTGTAGGTTTTGTATTTTCTGTCATTTAGAAAAATCCGCTTACCCCAAGCTTATCTACATTTTCTTTTAAAATATTTAGAGCTTTGTTACATTATAATCTTTAATCCATTTAAAGCACATTTTGGAGTAAGATTCGAGGTAGAGCTTTAATGGTTTGTCACTTGTCCCTCTACCCTAGAATTTCTCAGTTGCAGTACTGTTAACATTTTGGGCCAGACAGTTCCAGGGGAGTGGGGTGGGCTTTCCTGTGCACTGTGAGATGTTTAACAGCATCCCTGGCCTCTACACTGCATGCCAGTCCCACCCTCACTCCATTTGTGACAACTAGAAATGTCTCCAGACTTTGCCAAATGTCCTGAGGGGCAGAAATCATTGCCCCATTCTTGTTAATCTGTTTCCAGTTGCTGAATGGGCCTTGGAAAGTCAGGGTATATCCTGGGTTGTGCAAAGGCATGGTGGCAATACTGGGTCTTGCCAGTGTGGGCAGGCTTCAAGGCACTGAGATGGAGAAGGGTCTTCTCCATCTTCTCCATGACGAGCTGAACATAGGCTCGTCATGCCCACTGGTGCCGTTACAGGTGGCCGTGGTAAAGTCAGAAAACATGGAAGCAGCATCCCCTGGTGGGCAGCCCTCACCTGAAGACACCACTCCGCAGGTGGTGACACTTCACGTGGCAGAGCCAGGGGGCAGTGTGGCAGCTGACAGCCAGCTAGGCCCCCCTGATTTGCAGCAAATTACCTTGGCTCCTGGTCCGTTTGGTGGGGCTGGCTACAGTGTCATCACAGCACCTCCTACGGAGGAGGGGACATCAGCTCCTGGCACACCTTACAGGTAGACTTGTGTTCTAAAGGCCCTTTTTAGTCTTGTATAGGTGCATTGAGACAGTCAGGTTTGGGCCCTACCCACTCAAGCCTAGTTAGCAGGAGGCTAAAATCCTGCTTTATACAAAGCGATTGGGCGATCCTACATAGGTCAGGAGCAGCCACGCTTTGGCTGTTAGGTATCTTAGGAACTTGGTATTCATGATCTCACCTAACCTGCTCCCATAAGATCCATGTTTCCCTCCTTTTAAAAATGAAGAAACAGGACAGGGAAGTTAGTAACTGGCCTAACAGACATAAGAAGTCAGGCTTTGAACCGTAGTCTCTCTGGTTCCCAAGCCCAGGTACTCTGTCTTCGATTTTCCTGGGTGTTTTCCAGCTCTGACATTTGGAGCAAGCTCAGTCTCCTTTGTCACCATGGGAGGACTGGCATCTGAACTTGGCTTCTTTGCAATGAGCGAGTTTGAGGTGAAAACGTTTCTGTGTTTACCAAGTTCCTAACCATGTGAGGAAGCCCTGGGCCAGCACCTGGGCAGGACACCTCTCATCCTTTGCCCTCTGATCTCGTCCCACTTGGCCAGACTCAGGCTGGACTCCAGGGACCCTTTCCCTGCTGCCCTTGCCCATCAAGGGGGCAGGAATTACATCTTAGTGGGACTGTATACCGGGTGCTTGGAAACCATTCATGGGAGGGACAGCAGAGGCCTCCTCTGGCACAGGCAGAGCCCCAGGTTTCCCTAGGATCCCCCAACTCGAGTCAGCCAGTGATGGTAGTTACCTTTAGTTGACACCCATTGCTTGGGAAGGGAGTTCCCATGACCCTCCATCCTCCTAGAAGCTACCTTTCTCTGTGTCTTCAGTGAGGAACCCCCTGGAGAGGCAGCTCAGGCTGTGGTTGTAAGTGACACCCTCAAAGATAGTGGCACCCACTACATCATGGCAGCTGATGGGACACAGCTGCACCACATTGAGGTGAGACTCCCAGTTGCCACCCTGTCCTCCTCCTGCCCCACCCCCTCCTCAGCCCCTTATTGCCACCTGCTCTCTCCACAGCTGACTGCAGATGGCTCCATCTCCTTCCCAAGTGGTGATGCCCTGGCCTCTGGAGCCAAGTGGCCCCTGCTGCAGTGTGGGGGGCTGCCCAGAGATGGCCCTGAGTCCCTGTCTCCATCCAAGACCCACCAGGTGGGGGACACCCAGGGCTCTGTCTCCCCACCTCCTACAGCCAGCAAAGCCTTGGGCCTGGTGGTACCGCCTTCCCCACCATCTGTTGCCAATGCAGCATCAAAGAAGTTCTCCTGCAAGATCTGTGCCGAAGCCTTCCCTGGACGAGCCGAAATGGAGAGTCACAAGCGGGCCCATGCTGGGCCCAGTGCCTTCAAGTGCCCTGACTGTCCCTTCAGTGCCCGCCAGTGGTCTGAGGTCCGGGTAGGTGCTGCCCCCACTATGCCTTTGCAGGTGCTCGTTTGGCCACTCCTTTGTGGCCAGGGGGCTCCAGAACCCTTGATTGAGCAGTCTCTCAAGCCAGGTCCTCGGCTTTCCTCTAGGGGCAGTGACTCAGCAAGATCCCAGCTCAGAGAGAGCTCAGTGTGGTCAGGAGACCTGACATAAAGTAACTCATGCCAGACGTGTGTCCCCAGTGTGAACAGGTCTATAGGGCAGAGAGCAGACACACAGAGCCAGTCATTAGACTTGGGGTGCTGGGAAGAGCAAAGGCATAGGGGTGATGACGTAGGCATGGGTAGGGCTACCAGAGCTGCTAGAATATGGAGCGCACAGAGGTCTGACGCCAGTGTGGGGGATGAGGGGCTAATGGGGAGGAGCTGAGTGGGGCAGCTTCTGGTCTGTGTCAGGCTTCTTTCCGCTTTCCCAATTTGCCCGTGCCCTGCACCCTCACAACTTGATGAGGGGCTAGGACTGAGACCTACCGCCCAGGTGAGGAGCCTCGAGGCCCACATAGGCAGGACTGAACCTGGGATGTCAGAAGTTCCCTCACAGAATACCTGTAAGTTCCATTTGACACTCAGAGTCTGCTGCTAGGCCAGGACTTCACAGGTGACCTGGTGGTGGAGCCTCTAGCTTAGAGTCAGGCCAGTTGATCAGTCATGATCAAGTTCAAGGATTTGGCTCTCCCAGCTTCCTGGCCAGCAGTTTGGGGACTTGGACTTGCTGCCATTTGTCCTGACCAGAGGTGCCCACCTCCGCTCCTGCCGTAGGCCCACATGGCACAGCACTCAAGCCTGCGCCCTCACCAGTGCAGCCAGTGCAGCTTTGCCTCCAAGAACAAGAAGGACCTGCGGCGGCACATGCTGACCCACACCAACGAGAAGCCCTTCTCCTGCCACCTCTGTGGGCAGCGGTGAGGCTGGGTGCTGCCAGGCAGGGCCATGGGGCATATCTGGTGGAACCACCCCAAGCCTTCCTTCCTTCCTTCCTTCCTCAGGTTCAACCGTAATGGGCATCTCAAGTTCCATATCCAGCGGCTGCACAGTCCTGATGGAAGGAAGTCGGGGGCCCCTGCAGCCCGGGCCCCGGCCCCAGCCCCGACCATCATCCTGAATAGTGATGAGGAGACACTAGCCACACTGCACAGTGAGCCACCTGGGGCCACAGGGCGGGTGCCGGAGAGATCCAGACATTTGAGTCACAGCGGGAGGGCACATTTGAGCTGGGACTTTCAAGGTCTCCCAGATCCCTATGAGAGTATCTTCTTCTCTGCCCAGCTGCCCTCCAGTCAGGTCATGGGGTCCTGGGTCCAGAACGGCTGCAGCAGGCACTGGGCCAGGAACACATCATTGTGGCCCAGGAACAGACAGTGACCAATCAGGTAAGGGCCAGTGTATGGCATCTCTACTGGCAGGTCATGGGCAGGCTGGGGGTGTACAGAGCTGAGGCTATACAGCTGGCTTGGCCTTGGCAGGAGGAAGCCACCTATATCCAAGAGATCACCACAGCAGATGGCCAGACAGTACAGCACCTGGTGACCTCAGACAACCAGGTGAGCTGCTGCTGATCACCTCAGTCTGGACCTCCAGTCCTTCCTGCCTAAGGCCCCACCTCAGAGAGAAACCAGTACTTTCCACAGGGGCCCTGTAGGTCCATCCTGGTTACTGCCATTGGCGGTGGTGTACCTGGTCCTCCACTGCCTTTTCCTGGCTCCCAGTAAGGGGGGGCTCCAGCACCTGCCTCCTCCCGCTCTTTTAGGTGCAGTACATTATCTCTCAGGATGGTGTCCAGCATCTGCTGCCTCAGGAGTATGTAGTGGTCCCTGATGGCCATCATATCCAGGTAGGCCAGGCCTGGGGTGAGCTGCAGTTTGGAGGGGTGCACAGTCTCCTTCTGGGATCACAGGTTGGCTTCTCTGCAGGTTCAGGAGGGCCAGATCACACACATCCAATACGAGCAAGGGACCCCATTCCTGCAGGAGTCTCAGGTAGGGCATTGGGGAATTAAGCAGAGCTGGGGACACAAGAGGCAGCCCTAGAGCCAGATCTCATCAGTTTCTCTCCTCCAGATCCAGTACGTGCCTGTGTCCCCGGGCCAGCAACTTGTCACTCAGGCTCAGCTTGAGGCTGCAGCACACTCTGCTGTTACAGGTATGGGGCTAGACCTGATGGCCAGGAAGCCTCGCTCCTGGGGCCTTGGCCTCACCGTGCTTTCCCCTCCCCTGACAGCGGTGGCGGATGCTGCCATGGCCCAAGCCCAGGGCCTGTTTGGCACTGAAGAGGCAGTGCCTGAACACATCCAACAGCTGCAGCACCAGGGCATCGAGTACGACGTCATCACCCTGACTGATGACTGAGCCCCATGGGCCCAACGCAGATCGTGGATGTTGGGGCTGGCTTTTCCAAGACTGCAGCAACCACCTCCCTGCCCGCTTAGGGTCTCTAGATGCTGGGAGCCAGCACTCTGTGCTGTTGGTGTTGGGGGACAGCCATCAGCCCCAGCCAGGACATGCTGGGTGCCCCAGCCTGCAGGCAGGCTTTGGGTTTGGGGGAGAAATTTATTTTTGTTTGGATGGACCCACTGGCCCTTCAGTCTCAATAAAGGGACCAGAGTCCAGCCATGGCCAGCTTGCTTTGTCTACTTGCTGCTAATAGCCTGAACCAGGCAAGGATCCAGGAAGCAAAAGGAAGGGGCCTGTGAATAGCCCCCAACAGGTGGAGGCTGCCTAGCTCTGCAATCAGCTGATCCTGCCACAGGTAGCTGTGTATAGCCCTGCCCAGTACCTCCAAACCCTGCTTCCTCCCCTGAACTCTGTGCCTCACAAGACAGGTGCTACACCCCGAAGCCTGTGGTAACATCAACTCTGCACTTTTCAGCTTTGTCTGTAAAACTGCTTGCAGGGGTGACCCCAGGGCCAACAAATCTGGTTCCACATAAGCACAGGGCGCAGCTGTGGTCCTTATCTCCCCAGAGGTATCCGGAAGTCCCAGCTATGCTGCAAGATGATTCAGGCCCTAGATTCCTCCAACCTACTGAGAACAGGCAGAGGTCACCAGGAACCCAGCTGTGTGGAGATCTTGGGGTGGGGTGTGGAGACCCAGGGCTCATAAGAGCCTGGGAGTGGTCCCAGAAGTAGCTCCAGGCAGCTTCCTCTGCCCTCAAGACCCTCACACATTATTGGTGGGGGTTCTGTATTTCCTTTTACAAATGAAACAAGGCAGCAACAGGGTCAGTATGGGGTTGGAAAGGCATGGGCCTATTTACAGGGGACATGGAACGAATCAGAGGTGGGGAGTAGGAGCAGGGAGGGAGAGCCCTGCTAGAGCCATTAATATTCCTATGTCACTGGCAGCCCAAGTCTTGCTGCCACCCCAGCGGAGGGTCCTGGAGTCCACTCAGCCCCCAGAGGCCTGAGTCCCACCATCCATACAGCACCCGTGGGGCTCCTCCTCCCCGCAGGTTGTGTTAAGTGGGATGAGGCTCATGGCTAGGGCCCTGCTCTCTGCCTGAGTCCCGGTCCTTGGTCTCTGAGGACGATGAGGAAGAGCTGGAGCCATGGCTACGGCCTGACTGCCGGTAGGCAGTGGTTAGCTCCTGCAGACGCTCAGGTGTTGGCCCCCACTTGGTGAAGCCAGGGTCATTCTGTAGGAAGAGCACGGCTGTGTTGTGGACGGCCTTGTAGTGCATTTCCTCCCTGTGGGTAAAGGAAACTGCTCAGGGTGGGGCTCAGCCTGGCCTGGCCAGCCCGACCCTCCTCCTTTCACTGCCTCCCTAGCACCCACTTCTTGCAGATGTGCTGAGAGCCACTGCGGTACTCGTGCTCAAAGGCAGGCAGGACCAGCTGGTGACGTTTGAAGCGGCTCTGCTCCATGCGGGTGAGCGCTGGTGTAGGGGGATCCCGCCACTCTGGGATGAACACGATGAAGGACAGGGGCTCTGGTGAGCTCTCCAGCAGTTTCTGTGGGAGGTAGCACAGGCTTAGGAACCGCCCTCCAGGGGGGTGGCAGTTCTATCTGCCATGCTTCCCACACCCCCAAGCAACACACCCACCTCAAAGTGAGAGACCATAGCATCCATGAGCTCCTCACAGAATGGAGGGTTGGCCTCAAAGGAACCACTCAGCGGGGTAAAGTCCAAGCAGGGCCTGGGGACAGAGGTGAATATTCTAAGTCCCAACAGGACCCGGCAAGAAACAGGCTGCCCCTACCCCTAGGCAGCCACATCGAAGAGATGACCACAGTCATGCCAGAGGCCCACACTCGCCTTAACTTGTTCTTGGGCAAGGAATGATCATGTCCATTGAGTGAAGGACAGAGGCTTGGGGGTGGTGTCCATATCCACCAAGCTGAGGACTTGGAATTGAAAACCACCATAGCACAAGCCACACCAAGGGCGTCCCTAGCTGAGCACTGGGTCTCCCTTCTGACAGCCTAGCCACTTCTTCCTGCTAGAGACAGCTTACCTCCTTTCCTTTCATCTGTGCCCATCCCCGCCCCAGCTAGTTTTGAGATCTCTGAGGTCTGCCTTACCATTTCTCAGTGTCTGGGACCAAGTGGTCCTATTCTAAACCTGAGCTAATTCACTGAGAAGCCCACAGACCAGTTAGGTGTCACATACCATCCCACAGGGCCAGGAAGGCTGTGATTCCCTGAGGTTAAGCATCATGTCCCAAGGTCACACAGCTGATAAGTGGTCTTCACTACCCCCAAGACTACCAAGCCCTGAAGCATTAGGAAGCAGCTGGCTGAGGTGAGACCTATAGTCTAGATACAGCTTCCTAGGCATGGGTAGAAGGGGCCCAGCAGCTCCTGGCTCTCACCCTCGGGAGCCAAAGTAGCCATCTGTGTCAGGGAAGGCAGAACAGTATTGGCGGAAGTAGCAGTTGAGGGGTGAGGCGAAACACTCAAAGCTGACACCAAAGAGTCGGTGGAGGACCTCAAACACATGCACAGGCAGTGATCCTTGCAGGCCAGTTCCCTCATAGAGGCCCACGCCGAACATCATCTGCACAATGGCCACAGTCAGGGTCAGACTCAGTCTCCCTGCTCCCTCCAGGGGAGCCCTCCCTTAGCTGCCCAAGGCCTTTACCTGGTACCGTCGGAGAAGACACCAGACTCGGGGCAAGAACCTCTCAAAGGCAGAGTCATCGATGCAGCTATAGCGGTAAAGGAGCCACTGCGGAACAGAAAGTAGTTTCAGCAGTGGTCCTACACCCTTATCCCTGACCACCTGCTAAGGACTCTGGGTCAAGAAAAATCTCAGAAAAAAAAAGAAAAAGATCTCAGGCCCCAACTTGTGCCATCAGCTAGGCCCCTTCTACCCCCAGGCTCTTACCAGCTTACTGAAGTAGTTCCGGCTGACCTTGACCATCTCTCCCTTATACCGGATGCAGACCACATTATTCTCCATGTGCATCTCCACACTGGGCATGGGGGGTGCAGATACAGCTAGCCGCACTGGGTAGCAGTACACCAGGCGGGGCTCCATTTCAGAGGCCTCCACCTCCTCTGTGGACAGGGAAAGCAGTGAGGGGCCACAGTGTCCCAGACAGCCTTGGCACGTACTATGTGCCAGGTACTTTGTACCAAGTGAGAGAAGTCTCTTCCGTGGATTAGTAAACTGTGAGTTAGACAGTTTCAGTAATGAAGGGAACAGAAAGCCATTAGAAACAAAACAAATCCATGGCAACTGGCAGGGGCAGAAACTGGTGTCAACATGCTTGGAACTGAAGCAAACCCCATTTGCCATGCTGTGGGCCTGGTAGACAAGTAGGCTCAGGCATATGAATTTTGCATCATCTTAACAGTTAGGCTACCTTACTTGGTGATCTTTAGGAGGTAAGCAGTTTGTGTTCCCTATGATACTATGAATACTCACAGTCCTGTGGTCAAGTATCACACCTCAATCTGGGGAAAGTGGGGGGACTTGCAGAGAATGGATGTAAACCCTGGTCTACATAACTAACTGGCCCATCTTTCTCTATCAACTTCTGGCTCTTCCTTTCTCATCACTTCTCCTTTTCCCAGAGTGCTGACACTCTCTAGCCAAAGGACACACCAGGTCCTGTCCCCAAAATCACTGGGCTCTCCAAACCAGTCCCTAACCTTGAGGCTCAGCCTCACTTGTTCCTTCAATCAGGACCTGGACGCACAGCTGATGGCACTTCAGCTGGCTTCCTGCCGCCTTGCCCCTACCTGGAATGTTGTTTTCCTTGAGGATGGTGAGGTGCTTCTCTCGGATCCGTTTGACATACTCCAGGGAGATGTGGTAGATTTTACTGCAGATGCCTTCCACAGAATCCTTGGCTGCAGCCGAGACATGGGGGCCACACTGCCTCCGCAGGTGCTCCAGACGGTCCTGGAGAAGACTCCTGATCAGGACATTTTTGGAGGCCAAAGGACATCAGCAGGACTAGAAGGCAACTACAGGGCTGTCGGATTCCAGCAGTCCTGGTTTTGAAACACCCTGCTACTTACCTGCTTCTCTGAATCTTGCTCCTCAACTACCAAGGGAATATGAAACACTAAAGAGGGCAGTCTGAATGTTAAGTGTGGTGGTTCCCCTTCAGGATTTGCCAAGCCCCTGGCATGAGTGCTCAGTAAATGCCAGCAGTGTCTGCTGGGTGAACCCATTGCTAATTCATGGAGAAACAGATGAGCCAGGCATGGTCCCAGCTCACAGCATCTGCAGTTTACCAGGGAGAGATGACTACAACACAGGGAACTTGGTGCAGATTTAAAAGTTGAGCTTTTAGCTACTTGCAAGGACAACTATAGGCATTTGTGATTTTGCTGAATCACTCCTGTGGAAACTGAAGAGTGAAAATGAGTCACTCTGGCTAGTGAGTACACCTACCTTTGTCACTCTCTACGTGTCAAGTACACAGTTACTATCGTGAAGTGCGAAACCTTGCCTCTTGTGAAAAATGGTCCTGAAAAGAAAGCCCATTGCTAGTGCTGGTGGAGTGGTTTAAGAAGTGATAGGTTCTGACCAGACAACAGAATTGTCTGGACATATCAGGAGAAGGGAATTAAATTTGAAGGTGGCTCTTAACTGTAATATGGACAAACACACACATAAGAAAAAGCAGTTTGGCAGTTTACCAATCTGTTTCTGAAATCTTCTCAGGGGAGATGATGAACATTCATTAAATTGAAAAGGCAGCTACTTGTATGTGGCCAAGATTAAGACCACATTAAGAATATTAATGAAAATGATCTTTGGGAGAAAGCCAGGAGCTTGGGTAAACATCTCCATAGTCAGGAGTCTAGGGACTGGTAAAAGGCAAGGTCTGCTGTGGGAGCCTTAACCAGCCCAACAGGCACAGGAGGCTTCCTGGAGAAAGCAGTCACAGAACCTTTCAACTGGCCTCCTTATGGGGCCCACTCACCATGTAGTCCTCCTTGGAGGCTGAATGGTCCTTTCGAAGCCAGCTGAAAGTGTCCTCCACGTTCCACTTTACCACCTTCCTACTGTCTGGGGATGCACTCCTGCAAGTCAAGGGCAGGAGAAAGGGCTCAGCTGTGCATATGGATCAGCTATTCCGGTGTCTGCTCCACCCTCTTCCCCTCATTCCATTTGGCTGTCATCTAGGCATTGGCCTCTAGGCTTACATCCCACCCCTTGTTCTGTCTTTGGGAGCAGGAGCAGCCCTGTGTGAGCATGGTCCAGATGGCCTTAGACCTTCCTCTTTGGTCATGGACCTGCTTCAGAGGGCAGAGAGCCAAACCTGGACTCGATGAGCCGCCTGGCAGCCTCTGCGTATTTGAAGAGCAGGCGCTTGGCTTCCTCCCGGAACTTGATTCGGGATAACCTGATTAGAAAGTGGGCAAAGTTAGAGCCCTTTTACACAACTGAGCACAGATACCAAATGGCCCAGCTGTGGAGCTATACCTGATGGGAATGTCATTCATGATTTCACGAAACATGGAAGGTGACACAACTGGTTCACAATTGCTCGGCAACAAGGGATCAGATCCTTTGTCCACCACCTTTCGCTCAAGCATCCAGCGGTTGAAAGACTCCCGAGGAGGCTCAATTCCTGCAGGATGAGAGCTGCTGGGATCCACGCTTCAGCACACAAGAGAGGCTTCCTAGTACCCCCATGGTTATTTTCCAGGCTGCATCTTCCAAACTATATTCTGAGAATCACTAGGGGGTTTCTCTGTTGTTGTTCTCGTTTTTTTTTTTTTGTTTTTTTTTTTTAGTTATCAGGGTCTCATATATCCCACACTAGCCTCATTACTTGCCATCCTCCTGCCTCAGGCAGATGTGTGCCACCATGTCTGGCTTGAATCACTGAGTTTCATAGTGTTAACAAGTGCTAATAAGGGAGGGAGGAGTCTATAGTTCAGCAAAGCCAAGAAGGCTTATTTATAAAAGTTAAAGGGTTAGAGGCGTAGCTCAAATGGTAGAGCACTTGCCTACCCTGTGCCAGGCCCTAGGTTCAATCTCCAGTAGGAAAAAAAAAAAAAATTAAAAGCTGCAACTTATTGAGTGCTTATCCATTTCACTTACTACTTGGAATAATCCTGTGCACTATAGATATTCTTGTCTTTATGATCTTTTACAGACACGTGAAAAGTGTTGACAGTGCCTGGCAAACAGCTCTAGCCACCCTTTCTGTAAGATCGGTTACTGTCCTCATCTTACAGATGAGAGAACCAAAGTACAGAGTAGTTAAGCGAAGTGCCTGGGATCACAGAGCCAGCGGACAATGGAGCGGGGACTCCCAACAGGTCTGCTCCCCTCCGCAGCACATGCTCTGAAGCACCAAGCTCCCTCTGCCATCCCCAAGCCTACCTGATGTAGTCCCAACTCTTGCTAAAGCGGGAGGGAAACCGTGAGGGCTGTGGCCTGGGGGCAATTACCCTCCCGCTGCTGGCACAGCTCCCGGTAGTGCTGCCGAAGCTTCAAGATCAGCTGGGAGCGGAGCAATTCCACTTCAGGATGCGGGGGCAGGACCTCCGAAGGCCCCCGGTGCTTGATGACAGCATTGGTCTGGATATCCAGATCCCAGTACACCCTTGGCACACACAGGAGCAATTAAGATACCCTGCCCTCCACCACCATACCCCAGAGTCCCAGGCTGGCAGGCCATCACCAATGGCGCCTGCAAGCCAATCCACAGGGACTTACTCAGTGGGCCGGAGGAGGGCTGCCTGCTGTTTATCTTCAGGGGATGCACCCCAAATCTTCAGTGTGGGGGTTCCTGGGACACTGGGTGAGCTGGGCACTGACTGGCCTGTGGGTGTCACAGGGATTTCAATCTGGAACAGAAAAATCAAAGGCATTAGTTCAGGAGACAGCAACCCAAATTCAGCACTGCTTCCTGGTGAGCTGCAGCCCAGGCCTCCCTCCTGACCAGCTTGCTGATGCCCAGCCCTTGTACAGGGCCTGCTGGCTGGCTGGCTGCCTGCGATGGCCACTTACCAGGCATGTCCTGAGACCCCACACACTCACCTTGGGCTTCTTCACACCATTGCCACTTGGCTGCTCTTCCGAGAGCTGCCGCTTTCTGGACTTGTTCTCAGCCGGGGGGGTTTCCACCAAGCTTGAGTCTTGGGGCAGTGGGGTCGCATTCAGCCCCAAAGGGTCCGACTGGTGGAGGGAGACCAGCAGAGTTGCAACTGGGGCCAGCAGCTTAGGCACCCCAGTAATTCAGAATCTTCTTGCCCACCCACCCTACTCTTACTCCTCAAAGAGCACAGAGAGCTGGGATGCAGGGGGAGAACACTGGGCTCTGCTCCCACCTGCCACTTGTAACTCTGCAGGCTCAGGTAAGCTTACCCCCCCTTCCTAATTCCCTCACCTTCAGAATGGCCACATTAAGCCCTACTTCACCACTGAGAAGATTATGACACGAATCAGTGAGTATGACTTGCATAGCATGACATATGGCACAAGATCGACACTCAGTACGCTAATTTATTTTCCTTAAGAAAAGAATGAAAGTCAGGAATAAAAGAAAACTCAAGAAGTGCTTATTTTCAAAAAACCAAGGTTCTCTGTGAATGGACCTCCTCTGGTGACACCATGAGTGTGTGTGGCCCTGAAAAAATCCTGCTCTGCCTATGTTAGCTGTAAGGCCTTGAGCCAATCATTTCCCCCACTGAATTTCAGTGTCTTCAAATGCAAAATGAAAGTCACTTGCTTGACTATAGCCAGTAAAAGTTGTTACAGCTGCGAGAGACCCAAAAGCCAATATTCCCACCAGACAGCTCGTTCCTGGAATTCCCATCAAACTGACACTCCAGTTCCTAGAGTGTTCTTCCATTTCCCCTCTTACCACTCTCACTTAGTTAATCAGTTAAAGGCTGATTCTCAAGAACCTTTCCTGTCTCTTCCCCTTCCTCAGGCCAGGGTCCCTGATGTACTCCAATACCATTCTTCATACAAATCGACAAGTGTGATCCTACTACCACATGAGCAGACTGAGCACGCCACAGGGCATGGCGTATGTGTATCTTTTTGGCAATACTGGGGTTTGAACTCAGGCCCTTGCGCTTGCCGGGCAGGGACTCTATCACTTGAACCCTAGCCCCAGCAGGGAGCATGCCTATCTCACTTGCACAGGGCCCTCAACACGAAGCAGTTTTCTATTCCACACTATTAGATTTATCTGTTTACTTGTCAGTCTCTCATGTGAGTGTAGATTCCAAGAAAGCAAGGACTGTCTTGCTGGACATTGTATCTATCTGCAGCACAGGGCTAAACATATAGCTGCTCAGGGTACACCAAAGGAAGACCCACTTGCCAAAGGCTGCTCTGACTAAGGCTGGCACTCACAATCACATCGTGTTGGCCCAGTACAGGCATTTCCCACAGGGACTGGTTGGTGAATCGGTTGAAGTAGTAGGGACGGTTCTCCCTCCGGCTCCAGCACTTTTCCCAGCCCGCGTGCACCAGCTCCTCTGCAGACAAATGTGGAACATGGCCCAGGTCAGGCTGTTCTCAGATGCCCCTTCCTTCCCCACTGCTCTACCACCACTCCTCGTCAATACCTGGTAGATCCTGTACCAGGCGCATTGGCTTTGGAGAACAGGGCTGGCTGGAGGTGCCTGGAGAGTGACTCAGCAGGGACGCTTCTTCCCGAGGACTACCATGATTCTCATTGGCCATCTCAGCACCCACACGGGACCTGCCACACAGAGGACCAAAGCGTGTCAGCTCCATCACACCCACCAATTACAACCAAGGGCCCTAGTGACCACCCATAGATATGGAGAAATCCAATTCAATTTTGTCCTGGAGAGACAGCTGGCACCACAGAATGACCCCTGGGATCTAAGCCGTGGTTCTCTCAACTATAAAATAGGTGCCCTCCTGCTGTTGTCCCTCCCTAAAATACCCTTTCCTCAATTCTCTGCCTGGCTTGCCCCTGGGCTCACATACTCCAGGAAGCCTTCCATGACTGCTCCCTGCCTAGGTTAAGTGGTCCGAGCCCACTCAGTGCCATGACCACCACCACAGTGGCACTCAAATGGTTGGAATTAGCAACTGGGGTTGTCTCCTTATTTGGAACAGGAACTGGTCCAATGCATGTCTCACCAGAGCTCCATATGCTACCTGGACCCAATGGGAGCTCTACTAATTCTGCAAACATTTACAAAGCACCTAGAATGGCAAAGGAGACAGAACAGGGTCTGCCCTTGAGAAGCTACTCCAGCAAGAAGGACCAGTAATTCCCCTTAGAGGTGGGGATAGCATTTTACTGCTTCCATTCAGTGGAATCTCAGAACAAAGTGCAGCTGGGGAAGAGGCGTGGTATCTAACTGGCTGCTTCAAGCTACGCTGCATGGTAGGAAGCAGTCTGATACTAAAGAAACCAGGGCAACCAAGAAGGACTAACTCAGTCCTTCAGAATTCCCAGGTAAAAAATGACTTTACTAAGTACCAGCAAGGAAGCCAGCTCCTTCAGATTTGTTTTCACCAATTCCCCACTCAAAGCACCCCCAGCCTAAACCTCAATGACCAAAGTGGTTCCCAGCCCAGGGCTGTCAGACCCTTTGAGAGCCAAGTGAGATCCAACTGGTGATGCTAAAGTTGTTTTCAATATGTCACAACACCCACAAGAAATCAATTTCCCCACATAAGACCACAAAGGCAGATTTAAACATTAATTGTCTTTGCATGCTGAAATTTTACCAACTCATTGTGGCCACCCTGATTAGCTTATGCTGATCAGGAGCCCTGATTGGCTGTGATGAAATCATAGGAATCACTGGGATGTTGATTTTATTGTACTCAGTTATAGACAGCTTTGTTAATTTGGAAAGGGAAAAGTGAATGGTTCCTTCATTGGTACAGTACAGCAGGGGCAACAGAACATACATACACCAAAAGAGGGCCTTGATAACAAAAAGGCTGCGACTATTCCTTAGGGATGAGCCCAGGGGTTTCAATGAGGTCCCCCTTTCTCACCCTCTGGGGTCTGCAACACTAGCATGAGAGGGTTTTTCTTCTCCAGCCGGACTGACCCCACGTCACAGGATCCCACAGAAGCAAAGGGGAAGGCCTGCGGAAAGGCTCAGCACAGGTAGGTGGGCTGGTCAGCAGTGGAGTGGACAGGGGTCCTGGGGTCTCCTTGCATTGGCAGCTAGACACAAATAGAAGAAAAGAAAGTCACTGACCTGTGAAATGCTCCCAGGCAGAGAAAACAGCAAGTGGGGCAAGGACACAGCAAGTTGGGAGCTCCTAAGAAACACACAGGAAGGACTTGGAGATTCAGGGGATGAAAATGGTACTTCTCAAACTTTCCAACCAATAGGTTTGCTTTCGTGGGCATTTTTCTTTTCTTTTCCTTCCTTTTTTTTTTTTTTTGTTGGTACTAGGGAGTAAACCCAGGGCCTCATACATGCTAAGCAAACACTCAACCACTGAGCTACATTCCCAGCCCGAGTTGGGTATTTTTGAGATAGGGTCTTGCAAACTATTTGCTTGGGCTGACCTCAAACCTTGAGCCTCCAGGTCTCTGCCTCCTGAGTAGCTAAGATTACAGATGTGAGCCACCAGCACCCAGCTTTTTGTTTTGGCAATAACAGGCATCTGAACTCAGGGTCTGGAGCTTGGTAGGCAGGCACTCTACCATGTGAGTCAAGCTCCCAGCCTCTTCATGGGCTTTTGACCTTCATGGTTGCACAGATCCCAAGACCCACAGCCCACATGCTTGGTTTAATCTCTAATGTCATCATCTTGAGTTTTTGAATTTTTACCTTGCAGTGCTAGGGATCACAGCCAGGGCATGGAGCATTCTAAGCAAGCCCTCTAGCACTGTGCTGTAAACCCAGGCCAATTTTTTTTTTTTTTGGTGGGACTGGTGTTTGAACTCAGGGCTTCAAGACTGCAGACAAGGTACTCTACCCATTAGCACCTGGCTCTTGCCAAATTTTTTTGGGTTTTTTTTGTTGTTGTTGTTTTTGTTTTTCAGTACTAGGGCTTGAACTCAAGGCTTATACCTTGAGTCATTCCACCATCCCTTTTTGATGGTTTTTTCTTTTTATTTTTTATTCATATGTGCATACAATGTTTGGCTCATTTCTCCCCCTCTCCCCACCCCTTGATGGTTTTTTTTCAAGATAGGCTCTTCCGAACTATTTGCCCGGGTTGGCTTCAAACCCAAATCCTCCTGATTTCTGCCTCCTGAGTAGCTGGGATTACATGCATGAGCCACCGGTGCCCACCTGTCAAAATTTTTTTGAATGATGTCTCACTGTATTTCCCAGGCTGGTTTCCAACTATTAAGTTTAAGTGATTCTCCTGCCTAGTCTCCCCATGACTGCCACCAGATCCAGCTTTTTTTGTTTTTTTCTGGCTGCACTGTGGTTTGAACTCAGGGCCTCATGCTTGCTAAGCAGATGCTTTTACTGCCTGAGCCACTCCACCAACGGTTTTTGGGTTTCTTGTGATAAGGACTTAGGAACTATTTGCCTGGAGCTGGCTGTAATCGGGATTCTGATCTCTGCCTCCTGAGTAGCTAGGATTACAAGCTGAGCCACTAGCTTTTACTTTTAAATAAAAAGCCTATGTGTTCATTTTCCACACGGGGCCCCCCACAAATTGCCTAGCCATCCTTGCCAACCAAAGTACCCTTAGACCAAAAAAAAAAGTGAACATATATAATTGTGGATCTGGAGCCCCATCCCAAGCTACCCACGCAGAGTGAAAGCCACACTTCTTTGAAAAAAATAAAAACATGCAAACGCATAATACAGCACATCTCATCCACCTTTATTGAAAATGTTTTCCCAAGAAATGTCCTGTGATGGTGATGCACCAGGTAGATGCGCTTTGCACAAGACACACAGCAGAAAAGCTTTCATGTGAGGCCAAATGGGGACACTGCAGCATTTCCAAACCCAGCTGTGTATCAGAACCATCTGGGGGCTTGTAAAAAAAACCCCTCAGATTCCTGTACCTTACCTCACATCTTAAGGAGCTAGAAACGGGGAGGGGAGATACAAAAGAAATTGTAATCTTTAAAGTACCCTGAGAGGGGAAGAAAGAAAGATGGCTCACTTTTTTAAAAAATCTACACCATATTTGAAAACTTCACCAATGTAAACTGACTAGGGTCTGGGGTGTAGCTCAGTGGTAGAGCGATTGCCCAGCATGCGTGAGACGCTGAGTTTGATCCTCAGCGCCGCAAATTTAAATTATTTCTGAGACTCGGGTGCAGCAGGTCTGTGGATGAGGTACCACTTTGGGCTTGGGCGTACTTCCAGACCTTTTTTTGTTGTTGTTGTTCCAGGCCCTTCTGCAGCTTCCCAGCTTCAGAACCACTCGACCCCCCTGTGCACAGCATCCAGAATACTTTACAACCCACTACAAGACATCTGTTCTGGTTAAGACCTTTTTATTTTGCCTACGGCTTCCCGACCCCCACGAGCACCGCAAGGCACTAACTGCAGCAAAACCTAAGCACAAACAACTGCATCTGCGCAACCAAAGGAACCTACCAGAAGGAAAAAATCTGATGCCAGGATTGGAGAAAGATGGGGCGGGAGCTTCCCAGTAGCGTACCAATCAAAACGCTCCGGTCCAGTAGGGCGGAGTCACAGGGCTTGCGAAATGCGCAGGCGTGGGGGGGCGCACTCCAGCGCGCGTGCACCTGCCCCTGCCCCAGCCCCTGCGGGGGCCGACAGACTGGCGCGCGCGCGCGCGCCGGCCCATCTCCTGAGCTCCGCCCCCCGCCCCGCCGCGCGCTCCCGCCCCCGGGCTGAGGCGACTCAGAGTCGGAGCCCGACACAAAGGCGGCGGCGGCGGCAGTAGCGGAGGGACCCTGGAGGCTGCTCCGCCCGCGCTCTCCAGGCCCACTTCCCTCACCTCAGCCACCGGCCCGGCTGCCCACCCGCGGGCCTAAGATGGCGGCGGCGAAAGACACGGGGCAAGCGGCAGCCCCAAGCGGAAAGCACCGGCGGGGTCCACCGCCGCCTAGCTTCGGATTCCCGGACCCTGCCTTGGCTCGCGGCGAGACCATGGCTTCCTGGGGCTCTTACCTGCCCGAAGCGGACTCGAGGGGATGCGGCTACACGTTCTGCTCGACCGCCCGTTTTGCCGCCTCCGCCTCGCCCTCCCCAGTGCCGCTGCCGCCATCTTGTGTCCCGGGCCGGGACTCCGCGCTGCGCATGCGCTGGTACCGCCTCTGAGGGACCTCGCCGCGGCCGCGCCGCCATCTTGAGTGTGGCAGGGTCGGCTGGTGGTTCAGATCCTGCTTTCAGCCTTTTCCCCTTTCTCCCGTCCTTCCCTGCTATTCTTTGCGGCCCTGAGGAAGGGAAAACAGCTTTGGTGTCCTTGGGGTAGGGACTAAGAGAGCAGTAAATTCACAAGCCCGCTCCCCGCCTCAGTTTCCCCTGCGAACACACCCGGAGGGGCTGGAGAACCTGGTTTGACGACCTAGGGACGACGGTGCTGGTTTGGCATTTTCTGGGGGCTCGGGGTCGGTCGCGATACGGGGGCGGAGTCCTGGTGACGTAGGCTCAAGACGTGGTGGGCACCTGGGTCCTAGCCTCCGCACCGCTCTGCTGCTTCCGGCCAGGTCTTGGCGTCTCTGGGCCTCATATCGCGTTGGGTACCTGTATGTATGTGAGCCTTGTCCCCATGCACATCCACGCGGCATGCAAATCAAACATTATTCCATCGCGATCCTCCACAAGTTGTAAGAGCTGTTGAGTAAAAGAAATCCAGTCGCGCGCAAGGGGCTGGAAGAGTGCATATAATAAAAAGGGCTTTAGGCATAGTTGGCAAATGTTAAGCTGAAAGCCACTGGTTTACGGTTCACCAGCCTCACTGAGGCTGGAGGTGTGGCTCTGTAGCGGAGTGCTCGCCTGGCATGAGCAAGGCCCTGGGCTGGATCACCAGCTCCACAAGAACACCTGTGCAAGTCCTCACAGACCTCAAAGCAGCTGTGAAGTTTAGCCTTGCAAGCAGTCGACAGCTGTCAAGCTCCCTGCCTGAATCCTAGGCAGGATCCAACGGCTCAGAATAGTAGCTCCACCCACTTCTGGCCTCTAAGTGAGCTGACCACCCGTCTTAGCTGGGAAGAGGACAAGTTTGCCACCTGCTGTTAGCGTGGCTCCGCAGACGCTCCGGCTGCGCATCCTCACTGGTGTCCTAGACGCTGGCTGCCTCCCGCTTCGGGGGGGTGGGGTGGAAGGAAGTCAAGAAAATCGGAAGTAAACAATGTAAACTAGAAGATCACATCAGTCTGGTTTCCATATCCTTGCCCCTCCACCCCAGATGTGATCTTGAAAGAGCTCACTTAAACTGTTTTCTCAATGGAAGATGATAAACCCGCCCACCTCTTAAAGGTTAGGTGAGAATAACGGAGGTGACTCATAATGGAATGTATTCAGCACAATACCTGCCGTTTGAAAGCGCTTAACGTTAGCTATGATCGCCTCAGGTTTGTGAGATTTGCTCCAAATAGATTGAGCCCTCCAGAATTAAACTCCTCTGTGTAAGCATAGCTGCACGCTTCACCTGGGACAGTCTTGGCTTATGTCTGTTGTCCTAGCATAATCACCAATACTGCCTTCTTAAGAATAAGTCACTCTGCAACTGCAGAGTGCTCAGGCTTAGAAGCTCCCCAAGCTAGTTCGTATTTACACTAAAGTGTAAAAACCGCAGTGATTAACTGTTTTTTGCTGTTACGTTGTCAAAAGTATTTTCTTGTTCATTGTTAATTGGTAACCAAAGCACCAGACACCCCAAGTATCTATTCCTGAGTAGGAACTTTGTCAGATCTGCGCTTGAACAGAGGCTGGGGGAACAGTGGGGGAGATGAAGTAATTGTTCAAGTTCACATAGTAATTGGGATTTTTAAGCCCAGGGTTCCCAATATCCAAACACAGATTTCACTGGATTCCCTCTTATGGAAAAGAGAATCAGATAAGTCACCTCCAGCCCTGGACATTCCTTCTTCAATATCATGTGGGGTTTTTGTTTTACACCCCCCCCAAAAAATAGCAAAATGTGAGCTGGGCATAATAACTGTTCGTGTAATTGCAGCTAGTAGGAAGGCTGAAGGGGATCACTTGAGCTCAGGAGTTCAAGACCAGCTTGGACAACATAGTGGGACCCTGTCTTTAAAAAAATATACAGCCAGGCACCAGTGGCTCATGCTTGTAATACAAGCTACTCAAGAGGCAGAGATCAGGAGGATCACAGTTTGAAGCCTGCCCAGGCAAATAGTTCATGAAAAACCCTAACTCGAAAATACTCATTACAAAAATAGGGCTTCAGTGGCTCAAGGTGAAGGCCATGAGTTCAAACCCCAGTACCAAAAAAAAAAGTATACAAAACGTAATGTAAAGCATAGTGATTTCTCACAAAGTGGGTACTTGGTTAGCGTCACTCAGGCCAGGGAACTTTTAACAGTCAAGCAGAAGCCCTTCAAGCAGAAGCCCTTAAAGGGTAGTTGCTGTTCTACTTTTATGATTGGCACTCCTTTTATAGTACCACATCTGTCTCTAAACAATATGCTTCGCCTGTTCCTTAAGCTTTATATAAATAAATGAACTCACACAGTGTTTTTTGGTTTTTCTTTTTTTTTTTCAGTTTGGTTTCTTTTGTCCAGCATTGTGCTTGCAAGATTCACCTGTGTTGTTTCATGTAGCTACAGTGAGTCCATTTTCATTGCTGTATTCTATTTTCCATTGTGCATAGATTGTTGAGGAAGCTTGAGCCACACCTCCAGCTCCATAGGAATCTAGTCAGGTTTAAAACCCTTTAGTGGGGCTGGCAGAGTGGCTCAGTAGTAGAGTGCCTGCCTAGTAAGCATGAGGCCCTGAGTTCAAACCCCAATGCCACCAAAAAAAAATCTTCAATGTCTTCCCATTGACTACAGGATAAAGCCCCACACCCTGATTTAGCTTATAAGATCATGGTTATAATAAGCTACCATGACAGTGTTTTCTATGGACTGAGTCAAGACTTCACATACATTTTATTCACAATACAGACCTTCAAATTATCTCTTCTTGAACCGAGCATGTTTTCCCACAATGTAATTTCAGCACTCAAGAGGCTGAGGTAGGAGGATCTCAAGGTCAAGTCCAGCCTGGGCTACACAGTGAGACTGTATCTGAAAAAAAAATCTCCATCTGGTCACAGCCACCTTGAACTACTTACAATTTTCCTAGATGTGCCATATTCTGTCTTGACTGAGCCTTTGAACATGCTGCGTGCTCTCCTTTCTTGCCTAATTCAGCCTTCAAGTCTTAGCCCAGATGGCACTTCCACCGTGCAGGCTTCCCTGCCCTCTCTTCCGTCCTCAACTAGATTAGGTTCTCTCTGCATTCCCACATTGGCCTGTGCTCACTGTTTGCCCATTTTCTCTGTCCATTAGGCTGTGGACTATTTAAGGGTGGGGACTAGGGCTTGCTTCCTCTGTAATCCCCAAGCCCAGCACTGTGACTAACTGTACATATTTGTTGACCATAACCACACCACACTGGGTTGAAGGCTGAGTGACTTTTTCAGGCATCCCTGTTTCTATTCCAAGCTCTGGTTTTTGTGGTGGGAACACCAAGGTGGCACCCTTTGAGATGCCAAGAAAAATGAGCTGCCTGCTCTGGCAGAATGTCTGCCAGCAGCCTGGAGTCCTGTACTCCTGAGATAGGAATGATCCACAGAGCAAAGATCTTGGGACTTTCAGGTATTCCAGCAACTTTTCTAGCTTAAGAAGCCTCACTAGACCGCAGGTCTGGGCTGGGAGAGGCGATTGAGATAAGCAGGGCTCCTCCAGCTCAGACCAGGACTGGCTGTGATTTAGAAAGACTCAGTGCTCAGTTTAAAAGGCTTCCTGTGCTGTGTTGTCACTGTCTTCCCCCACCCCCAGGTGCTAGTAATCGCACCTAGGGGCCTCCAGCACGCTAGGGAGCTACACACCCTCCCCCTAGACCCTGTCACTATCTTTAAAAACCTTTTTTTTTTTAAAGCTGGGACTGGGATTTGAACTCAGGGCTTCATGCTTGCAAAGCAGATGCTCTACTGCTTGAGCCACATCTCCAATCCAAAAAATCCTTGCCCTGAGCCCTGAAAATTATGTAGCCATTCTTGGTTGTGAGCTGGCTGCCAGGGCCTCTGAGGACTCCAGGCTCCAATCCAGACAGCCCAGATTCCCTGTTAAAGCAGAAATACAAACATTAGCTCAAGGAGAAAGGATTTAGAATGTTCCTGACATTCAAAGAAATGGTAAATGTTTAAGATGATGGATATGCCAGTTACTAGTTACTGTGATTTATCTAATCATTACACATTGTATAGGGTATCAAAGGGTCATAGGTTTTACTGTACCCCATAAATGTGCACACCTACTGTGTCAATGAAAAATAAAAAATGTATTTAAAAAGCCATACGAGCTCAGGCTGCCATATGTCTCAACCCCCTTGTTCTCTACCACTACAGTAGGAGCTGCTGGGAGGGAATGGGACATTTTGTCCTCTCAGGACCTGCAGTGGGGGGAAGGGAGGCTCCAACAGAATCTTTCCCAGCTGGCTGGAGCTGCTCAGGTACCCTGTTCTGCAGTTTCGATTACACTAAGGCAGATTCCAAGACAAATGGACCTGGTCCCAGGGTAGCTGGGGAAGGAAGGCTTCGACCCTAGAGCATGGTTGCCACAGGGAGTGGCTCTCTGGCCACTCAGGGACCAGATGAGAGAAGCCATTTAGTCTAAGAATAGATGAGGGGGGAGGGCATCTCCTTTGGTCTTCCTGGCCCTGCAAGTGTGTGATGTGATCCGACTTCCCTCCATTTCTTCACTCTGGTAGGCCTGACATGTGTTGAGGCCCGTCCTAGGACCTTGCGAACAAGCAAAAAATGAGCCGGCTCTTGCAAAAAATGAGCCGGCTCTTTGTCTTCAAGGTGCCCATAGAGAGGTGGGGGTTGGGGGGGATGAAGCATAAATAAGCCCTCTGCACAGAAGATAAGGCTCCAAGGGGATGAACAGATGGGTGGGTATGTGAAGGAGGCTTCAAAGATGACAATGGGCTGAATATTGGTAGAAGAATCAGGTTCTCTATGTAGTCAAGGAGTTGTGGAAGGGTGCAGCCTGTGCCAAGGCCTGGAGAGGTGTGTGTGTAGGGGGAATAATGAATTTGGAAAACTAGTCAACCTGAGCACAGCAGAAGAATGGGAGAGGCGCAGACCTTAACAGTGTCTGGGAATTCACGTTGGGTCCCTGTCCTGGTTTGGTACTCAGCACCCTCAGGTGGTGTTTGATCAAATCAGGACAGGAGTGGAGGACACCAATGTTGGTCCCTCTACCCTCCCACCTCTTCTCCAGGATGTCCATTTTTCTACTCAAGCTGGATGGTAAAGAGCCAGGATGTTTACACCAATATGAGCTGAGTTTGCAGAATCAAATTCCAGACTTCTCCAAAAGAGAAGACAGCTGACAGCTTCCTGAAAGTCTGAAATCTAGACTGAAAGTGAAGTCTAGAGGGAAGGAGAGGGAGGCACCCAATTGGGTCTCAGCTAAGGGTTCTAGGACACTTGGTTTCTAACCCAGAGACCTCAACCCTAGCTGGGAAACAACTTTTTTTTTTTTTTAAATTCACCTATTTCAAATATATGTTTTTCAAAATAAATTTACAGAGATACACAACCATCACCAAAATTCAGTTTTTTGGTTTTTGTTTTTAGACAGGCTCTCTCTTTGTGGCCCAGGTTGGCCTTGAACTTATGATCCTCCTACTTTAGCTTCCCAAATGCTGGAATTACAGGCATGTACCACCACACCTGGCTCCATAATATTCTTCAGATTCATTCATGTTGCAGTATATATCAGTTTCTTTTAATTGCTGAGTACTATTCCATTGTACAGACAGTATATTTTATCTATTTACTTAATTGATAGGCATTCAGATTATCTCTACTTTCTGTGTGTGTGTGGTATTGGGGTTTGAACTCAGGGCCTACACCTTGAGCCATTCCACCAGCCTTTTTTTTGTGATGGGTTTTTTCAAGATAGGTTCTCGAGAATTATTTTCCCCAGCTGGCTTTGAACTTTGATCCTCCTTATCTCTGCCTCCTGAGTAGCTGGGATTACAGATGTGAGCTACAGTGCCCGGCAGATTATCTCCACTTTTTGTCTGTTATGATTAGTGCTGCTATGAATACTCATGTGCAAGTGGAAAAAAAAAAACAACACAAAACAGGGCTGACAGAGTGGCTTAAGTGATAGGGGACCTGACTAGCAAGTGTGAGACTCTTAGAGTTCAAACCCCAGTACCACCACCAAAAATAAAAAATCCAATACCTGGGCTCCATCCCAAACCAGTCGAATCAGAATCTTGTTTTTTGTGGCCTCGGCAAGGGTATTCAACACAGAAGCCTACTTACATTAAAAGCTGCTATTAGCCAGGCATAGTGGCCCATCCCTGTAATCCAAGCTACAAAGAAGGCATAGGTAAAAGAATTGTAGTTCAAGACCCACTCAAGGCAAAAACTCAAGATCCTATCTGAAAAATAACTAAAGCAAAAAAGGGCTGTGGGCATAGCTCAAGTGGTAGAGCACCTGTCTAGCAGGAAAGACCCTGAGTTCAAACCCCAATACTGAAAAAAAAAGCTGCTACTGTACCGTATGGAGGGATTGGGAACTGGTGGTCTAACCTCAGCCCTGAAGTTCTCTCCTATGGGGCGGTGAGAGGGGCTTAAGATGGCCATCAG